CAAGTATAATCTCATCTTGTAATTAAGAAAAGGCAAAAAAGTATCGCTGAATTCTTTATTTTTGCCTTTTATTCAAAATTTCACCTCAAGCCGTTTTACACATTCACTTTTCTGATTTATGTATTAAATCCAAACCTTTTGTTTTCTTTGTTTTTCATCTGTCCTTTACTTTCTCTTTTATCTGGCCCAGCTTTACTTAGTCTGGGTCACCCAGTTCCACTCTGAACATTTCCAGACGCCAATAAATGATGCATGCAATATATGTTTAATACTTGATGAATGGCTGAATTGTAATTTTTTTGTTTTTGTTAATTTTCCATCTTCTTACCCTCCCCTTTTTAAAATCACAATTTGGAAATGCATTAGCAGCACTCTTAGAAGAAAAAGTGCCTTCTGCCACCTAAAGGTTCTCGGTTTGACCTGCTGGGGACCCCTTAAACGTTCATATTAGATATTCATATCTTTAAAGGGTTCTCTATATAACCCTCAGAATCAGGTTCAACAGAGAACCCTTGAGCAATATCCATATCAATGAAGAACCCTTCAAACAAAGAACCCTTATGGAACCTTTTTTTTCTAAGAGTGTACACAACTAGAACTGCAGGTGAGTATTGCAACATGTCAGAAATGCTCACTGGCCAGCCTAATTAACTTTGTCCATTCCATAGCCCGCACAGTTCTATGCGAGAGCCAAAACTGACCAGAGCAGTGGTATATCCCTCACAGACGACAGCTTATAGCTGCTTGGTGAGTAGCTCACAGTACTTCTGCTGGGGTATTCCACACAGCCCTGTCCAACTTAAGCCAATTATTCCTGGGCAGGACTAAGCCAGTCTCATCCCATCCCTGCAGACCCATTGTCACAGTGATATAGCAACTCAGGGGTAGTGATCTCTAAGATTCAGTGTTCCGCCTCACATGTACAACCCTGCAAAATGGCTCAGTCTATATATGCTGGAATCAGCAATGGTCAAAACACAAGCATGCATGCATGCCGACTCATCGCACACACACAATCACGCACACAGGCTATTCTCTGTTTCATGTGAGTGTGAAGGCAGACACCACAGCTGCTTTCATTAAACATCCCCAGCATTCCCTTGGCCAGTCCCAAAAGAGCGACTTCCTCTCTCCACCAAATGATAATTTATTAATGATTCAATTAAAACCCCCGCAGAATGGGGCTGCTTAAGAGAAGATGGCCGGATTCTCTTCAGATGAAAGTCATTAGTGTAGTGTACATAGGTACGTTGTCGTAGGTATGATGTTCTATTATTTAAAAAGGGTTATTGAAATGGAACAAAACACTGGCCAACCATTTGATTAATCTTAAGAGCCTAACTAAACGGTGGGTTAAGTCCAGCAGTCTGCATACAAAAGAAAACAAACACTATTCAGTCCCAGACACCACTGGTTCCAAGGATAAAACATAAAGTTATCATTTATCTCCGTCCCTTGTGACTTGGAGTGTTCAGATGATAATTAAGTGTGCATTTGTCTTCCACACAATAATATTCTGTTTATCAATTCAGCAACCTTTTTCCAGACTGCATTTTAGGAAGGATGTGCACAGCACAACGCTTATAACTAATTAAATGCATTTTGTTTAAAGCCAATTATTTTTCTACTAACCCAGTTTCCTCTACTGTTATTTTGCTGACTTATTTATTCACTCTCATATCTCACAACAGAAATAATAGGCAATGCAACGCTTATGTCTTTATGATAAATAATTATCAGAAATAATCAAGCACATTAAATAATCACTTGGATCAATCTCATCAAATGGCCTTATTGTATCATTATAATGGAATTACAGCTTGTAAATGTCTTTATGTCAATGAATTAATAATAGTTATGTATTGCATTAGATTGAAACATCTCACACATGACTGACAGTCAGCTTCCTCTCTCTACCCACCAAGCTCAACATATACTTCTCAAAATAAAGCAGTGTTTTGGTGAGGAATAAATTCAACGATAATATTATATTATATAACATAAAGTATATCTCTCTCATCAAACCTTGCACATTGCTTCATCCACTCTTTGCACAGGTTTGGTTTAATGCCCCCTTAGAATTGGTATCAAGTCAACACTGGAGTGGTGTCAAGAGTGGCTAGCACCCCTGCAGAAGGGTGTATTATCGGCTAAAGGATGGAGGTTTTCAGTTGGCTGGATTGGCTGATCGCCATGGTGATAATATGGTGACTCCTCTGGTTGATTTGGCACCCTCAGGGCTGGAGGGAGACATTTTCATGCGTAACTTGTGCAGACAGACTGCAGGCCCCCAGCTCCCCAGCAGGGAGTGCTAGTGAGCTCTGCAACGTGGACTTCCCTGTCCTAAATGCTCTTTAATTGAAATCAAAGGGACATTTCACTTTGATAAGACCTTGAGCGCAATAGATTTGGTATGTGTTCATAAACAAGGTTGAATCACTTCCCAGTGGGCCAAAAGAACCAAAACTCATGCTGGTCTGTTTAGGTCTCATCCTAACTCTTCCATTTACCTCCATTCATCTCACCAAACAACCTGGAAAAAGTACCTCTGGCACATATATGAAACTAATTTCCAAAGAACATCAAAGCACTAGTCTAAATTAAAATGTTATAGTTTTGCTAGTTTCAAATTACCAGGAAGGGAACTGTGATCTGCATAACTATACTTCATGTGTAGCTGAGCTAGCCTTTTCCCATAGATATTTACAACCTCTGTAAAGTTACCATGTCCCCATAACATGAGTGAATCGATCTGGCAACATTTCACTGACACAGGGTACTGCTAGCAGGTATTTGACCCAGCAGTAATGAAATGACTGGACTTTCTGACATGTAATCATATTTGTATTAATTAAATCAAACTTTACTTTTAAAAAGTGAGCTTAGACATGGGCTTGGGGAAGAATACATATTAGAAAGTTTTGTGGCAGTGAGGTTCATATGGCCTATGGTCAGAGTATTTTCAAGGTTGTTAAATGACGGAGTTGGAATAAAGCCTAAATGGGCAATGTAAGGTTCGGTTCATTTTGAGGACAGAGGAAACTGAAAATGATTCGAAATCATTCATAAAGACACAACAGAGGTAAGGAAAGTCTTAAGTCTTAAGCTTATGTCTTAACAAAGTGAACTGTCACTTTAAATTAGTAAAATGTCATTTTCTTTCTTGAAAGTTATTGCATTTAATAGTTGCCATATCAACTACCTACCATTAACTACTCATCAACTATGTAACAAAATAGCAACACAGAGGTTATTATACTCTGAAATTATTTATTCAAGCCTTTCTTGTAATACATCTCACTTTGCATACAGGTTTAAAAACCACAGCAAGGGGAAGATGAATGAAAGTCACAGTGTATCACTTCAGTGTCTTTGTAAAATTTTTTAATCTTCCAATAAATATACTGAAGCAGGCATATCTTATTTTACAGGTCATTAGACAAGAGTGACAAAGGACAGCCTTTTTACATGCAGGGTATTCTTATGTACCAGGGATGGACAAAATAACAGAAACACCATGTGAAAAGCACTTATTCTGAGGTAACTAAATCATAATGACAAAGGGTGGCCAGGTGAGTCATAATAAGTGGAATGCCAATTTGTAGTATGTGCCACCTATTAAAGAGGCCTGCGGGTCTGGCAATCAGCACTTTATTATGAGAGTTTCCAAGGCAACAAGGGGCAGCTAAAAGAGTTGCAAAGAGACCTGGTAGTCAGTTTCTGTATTGCTGGTGCATTGGTCACAAAAACTGCAAATTTATTTAACATGGGATGGAGAAACAGTGTCAAAAATAATGACAACACATGCCAAGCTCAAACAAACTGCACTGGCAAAGTGGAACAGTGTCAAGTCGAAGCTAACTGACAGGAACAGATGGACACTTAACAAGATGGTTGCTAAAGACTCCAAAACTACAGCCTCTAGAATTGCCACAGAACTGAATCACCCCTCTGTGACCCAGTCTCAACAAAAAATAAAAGGTGAATTTCATAAATCTGGAATTTTTTGGTGGGCTGCCATTCTGGGCCTGCTTGTATCAAAGGCTAATACACAAAGATGCTTAATCTGGTGTAAGGAGTACAAAACTGGACCACTTAACAATTTATAAAGGTAATATGGTCTGATGAGTTTTCTATGACTTTCTATGAGGAGTTTTCTATGACTTTCCTTTTCATCTGGAAGATTTTTCCTTGGAAAAAGCCAAAGGAAACCTTCGGCCCACAATGTCTGTTGTCAGATGTTGAACATGGTGGAGGATCAGTAGAGGGAGCCATTTCATTGGAGTCACTGGGTGCATGGCCATATAATGGCGAAAGAATATAAGGTGCATCCTATGAGACAAACACTATTCCCTCATTATGGTCCCCAAATTCAAAGACGACAACATGCCTGTACACACTGCTAAACACACTCAAGGGTGGTATCATGAACACGAGGATGAGACCAAATGTTTTCCATAGCATCCATATCTAAACGTCACCTTTGTGGAAAGTTCTGGAGTGCCAGGTGTGAAGTAGATTTCCACTTCCTTCATCCCTCAAAGGACTGAGACTTTCCTAACTGAAGAATGGTCCAATGTGCTTCTAAACACAGTTCATAACATGTATGACAGTATTACAAGAAAGACTTTAAGCTTTCTGTAAACAAATACATAAATGCTATGAAAAAACAGATATCGCAAAGAAAATCAATACAAAAAAGTGCATTAACTTGTCTTTAGAAAGTGCAGACAGATTTTAGACTTTTTATAATAATTCTCAGTAACTAAAAATTCTCTCATTTTATATGCAACGTCGAATTGGACTCGCGTCTACACATCATTGCGATTCGCCAGAAGTACGTAGGACACTGGCCACTGCCTTTTCCCATCCATGCACGAGCTACCTCCGAGTAGAGGTGGAAACAGGAGCTCGATCAGTACTCTGACAGGATAAAGCCGTTCCAGACTGTGATGATGGGTGCTGCTCACGCTCCCGTACATTTGTACTTAATACCTGGTTACCTCGTGGCGCAACGGTAGCGTGTCTGACTCTAGATCGGAAAGGTACATGTTCAAATCATGTCGGGTTCAAGCATTCTTCTGTTTTTGCCTTTGAGGGTTTTCCTTTGTCGAGACAGAAAACAGGGCCCTTAAATGTTGATGGTCGAAAAGAGATTTAATGAACCCTGTTTGGGTGGGGTGCACCCGGCTGTCAATCACTGCCCTCGAAAATGAACTTCTCCCCAAAGTGAGTCCGATCATCAGCCCAAATCCTTCTGACACTGATACTGTATTGGTGGCATGAATGCAAAATTGCCTGTTCGACCTTACTCTTCTGGGACTCATGTCTGAGGGTTTGGCAAATTTCTTTTCATGCTTTTCAACTTTTCTGTGGTCAAACATTCAGTGGGATGGTCTTTTGAGCTGACAGGTGGTGAGCACAATGCTGTCAACCAGATATGTGGAAAGACTTCCGTGGTAGGATGCATGGATGTATCCTTTGTTTGTAGGAGACAAGGAAACGATCTGAGGCCTTCGGGGCGCTGGCCTCCTACGATTTCTGAACAATGGAGGAAGGACACAGGGACCAGTTTCTGGGGCATGGAGGTGGTGGTAGAGAGGAGGATACAATTTTCTCAGTATCGTAACGCAGCCCTGGTCTCCTCCTCAAAAGCAAGGACGGCCCTTGGCAGACGCTTTCCCTTGCGAGGAATGCAACGCCATGGCGCGGGAAGCATGTGTTTCAGTTGCTCAACAGTGCAGGATGCTTCATTGCTGCACATTGGT